AAGAGCTTGCATTTGCCTTAGAAGCCAATTCTATTTCTATTTTCTTCCTAATATTTTATGTCAACCAGCAATGATTTTATAGGGTATTTATTTCAGACCAAAGATTTTCAGTTCTTCCTCATGCTGAATGCACAGTGTGGTTTTGGTTTGATCTTTTCAGACACATGAATAACTATCCCATTTCATGCTGTCATTGCAATTATTTATCTGGACTGGGGCTTTCCCAATAAAAGGCTCATTATTTCTTTTGTCAGAGATGCATTGAAAAACAACTGTTCACATGTGGCATGGGGGGAAACACAGTCTTCCGACCTCTCCGTTACTTAATGGCAGAATACACACTTTAAAAAAATTAAAGTAAACCACAGACAGAGACAATGCAATGCTCTGCTGCTTCGTAATACAGAAACTGAGGCAAGCTGTCCGGTGCAGTCAGGTATTACTGACACACATAAAAGTTTAAGCAGATGGTTTTGACTTTTAGTTCAGTATCTCAGTTATACATCATTCTACTCTTCTCAGCAACAGCATCACCAGCCCAGTTATAAGACTTTGAAATTAAAAACAACAACAAAAAAACCCAAGAGCCTTCACATCCTTCCGTACAATAACCTCGAACTCTTATCTGTGTTTCTGGCTTCAAATCCACCAGCTCAGCTGTATTTTTAAAAGCGTACTGATGGCACGTACTACTAAACACCAAATTAATGCTACGTCTGGATCCATGCCATCTGCAGAGGCAGGAGCTGTAACTGTGAAGTAAAATGGATCAAAAGCCTTGAATTAAGTCCTTGTTTAATGCAGAGGTAATCTGTGCTGTTAAGCCTAACCAAAACAGTCCTTAGCCAGAAGACACAGGGGGTGTCTACACTGTGTGTTTAATGACGCTGACACAATTAATGTCCTCAACTTTGGTCTCCAGACTCTTTGGGTCAGACAAAGGCCAATACAGTCACGTATGTTGGTCATTATGCAGGACTGCAAGAAGAAGTGCCACCAGAGGCCACCTCCTAATCATACAAGGACTTTACTGTGCCAGCGGTTTAAACCAACCTCCTTGACTTTACTTTAGGATAGGCTGGAGGAGAGGTGTTCACACATCTGGGGCTGGTCTTTGGAGGACAGAGAAGACTACTGCCTGAGACTAAAGCAGAATCTACTACCTCCCAGCCAAAGTGTTTGAGTCGTCTTGTGGCCTGACAGAGACCTTGACAGCAACAGCATGACAGCGACTTACATGCAAAAATCCAGGGTTCAGGCTGTGTTTGCAGCATAATCCTGGGACCCTGAACAAAAGGGCACTGAAGAAGCTTTTCTTACCATGTTTTCTTCCTTTAAGAGTGGCAATTGCTGTCCCCAAAGAGTGGGATGGGAAAAGGATGATAGTTTGATTATGGAGTTCCTTAAACTTTTCTGCTAGTACACAATGCTTAGTAAAGAGCTTAGGAAGAAATAGCCTCCACCCCAGGATACGTAACATGTAGGTCTGATGTGCAATGAAACCCACACAAAGTAGACCGGGTGCAGCAGCAGTCCCTGGCTCAGGGCACAGGCCTCACTGCCCCAGGAGCTCAGCGTCTCAGTCTGTCACATGTTCCTTCAACGGCAGCCCACACAGAGTGTTGCTGGAGGTTTGCAGAGGGCTGGTTTCTAATATGGTCTTTTTGAACTGCTACTTCCATTAAAACAAGCAATTTTGGTTTCTTGCTTTTCCCTTTGTCCTCAACCACTCTCATTCCCCAAGGACGCTTGCAGGATCAGTAACGGGTTGGGCCGTGGTGTGCATGAAAAGGGTTATGTATGGGGGCAAGAAAAAGCAAAAATACAACCCTGCTACCAACAACCCCCTCCTAACCTCTGTTGTTGCACGAGGCAGGATATCCACCACAGGCAAATGTCTTCCAAACTGGTACAAAAGACCTTCTTGGTCTCAGGGCCACATGAATTAGCACACACTGACACCGCCTGCTCTGTAATTTAATGCCCTGGAGGGAAGCAATATGGTACCGCATGCCGAAGGTTCTTTTAATAAGAATGGTTATTAAAGAAAGCGAGGGACACAGATGTTTGCCATTCAGAACGGCACTGAAATAGACAGTGCAGAAAGTAGAACAGAGCAAGCTCTGACAGAGGGGCTTGGTGATACTTTGCACGCTGAGGTTTTCAATTCCAGTTCCCGCTCTCACCTTCAACCACCAAATCATGCTCAGCTTCTACCAGAGGCAGCTGCAGCACTTTGTGGCTTTCAGGGCAGTGTTTTTCACAAAATAGGAATTCAAAACAAGGAAGGAAGTTTATTCTGATGCCAGTTTTTTTAATCTTTTAATTACATTTTCCAAAACTGTTCTCATTGATAGTAGCTCTTCTCCCTTCCAACAAAATGTAGAAGGAGATGGGGTGTGGACCAGGAGGGAAGAGATGTAGCAATAGGAAGGAATAATATTTAGCAGCTCTTCCCATCCCTTCCTACTCTTTTTACTGACTTTGTTTCAGCAGAAATATTCCAACCAGCTCTACTTCATAGTAACATTTGGCACCTTTTTTCCAGATGGGAAGGAAAGCTCTAACTTCACTGCTGGCACGAGCCTTGTTTTCTGACTACGTCTAGTGGTCCAGGCGAAGGGTTGCTGCACAGATGGAGGCACCGAAACTTGCATCTCTTGCTTCCCCAACTGCTGCACCGTAATTCGTGGGTGGAGGAAGATCCTTTCTAGCACTTAGCCAAGAACCCGATACTTGAATTTGCCTAGTTCTTTAAGCCTCCAACAACTGTCCTTCAGAGGTAGGTTTAAGAACAACCTCTTGCCCTTAGTCTGCCAAGGAGCAGCCCATACCAGGTGCATGCAAAGGAAGAGGGAAAGAAGGAAGAGGGAAAGGGAGCAATGGAGCAGCTATAAGGGATTTAGCTCCACATTAAAGGCTAGCAGTCTACCCCACAGATGCCCTTTATTTAACTCTTCCCTTACCGTGCTTATGCCTAAAATATGCAAAATTTCCTTTTTTGCTGTAAAAATGCTTCAGTATTGGGGCCAGCTTGGCACTTTGCTGGTATAAACCAAGGTTTCCTTAAACTCTCTCTGTTTTAATACCCTGTTTATAAATACGGGTTTGGCACATGCAAATGATGGCAAGAAAACAAAACTGGCCATATTCCAAAGTGCAATATGTGCCTCCATTAGTTGTTATACGCATCCTACCCAGCCCAACCCGTGCCTGCTCTCCGCCAAAGCCCCTCTGCCTGCTTAGCCACTGGATAAAAGTATTCCCTTTGCTACAGAAGGGAAGATAGGAACTGTTTTGAGAGGGTGCCGCTCCGGACAAAACACTAAAAATCAGTTCAGACAAAATAAGGCATGGACTCCTTAAAAACAAGGAGATATAATAAATGGGGAAGGTTCCTCTGCAAGCCTCAGATGTCTGGAGAGGCTGGAGACGCTCAGTTATCTTGGGCACAAGAGGAGACAGAGAACATGGCACTCAGATACTGAAGCTGTTGACCTCCCAAGAAAACTACTAACCCTTTAGATAACATTGGCATGAACTTCAGAAGTGCTGAGCCCCGGGTTTCCCGTATGCCAGGTAATCGCTTTTTTCCTTATGTTGCCCATTAAGAAGAGTTGACTGGGGAGGAGTTCTTGCAGTACAGGGTTATCAGCCCTTCTGACATCAACTACAAGAGGATCCTTTTTGGTTTTGAGAATTTTCCCCGCAAAGGTCTCAAGAACAGTTGGAAACGAGTAGCTGTGTTAATCCTAGTAAAACCCCACTGCAAATGTCATAGCAGAGCAGTCTAAACGGTCTTCATTTAGTGGCTGCTTTCCAAGGACTAAAACATATTTTTCTCCTATGATATTTATTGACTGATCAGACCAGTCCCGCCCTCATTTAAGTTACTGGAAGTTCTCCCCTCCACCTCAGTAAAATACAGCCAAGTCCTAGGACTTGACAGACCCATTTGGACAGGCATTGGCATTTCAATAGCTGTGGGACTCTGACTACAATGCCTCTGGGACTCGCCCCACCTTGAGAAAGGAGAAACTGCTCAATATGCAATTCCTTCACTGTACAGATAGATAATTCTAAAAATACAGGTTAACCATACTACCTGACTGTAGAGTAACTAGATGAGTGAGGAATGCTTTGTCTGTTATAGTCCAGTATTAGTTACAAATGCTTCATATCTCATGTCACTTGATGGCATTGTTAAATAGCAACCAAGATAGGGGGAAAAGCTATACAACTGCCGCCTTGAAGTTATTTTGAGGAAAATCAAAGCCCACTTTTGTAAAACAAGTCAAAAGTTAAGATCAGATGAAGTTAAATATTCCTCAATTTATTTTCATTTTCCCCAGGCTTTGTTTCTCCTGTTAATATTCTACAACCGACAGTTAAACAATCAACTGCCACGTTTAAAGCTAGAGCCGCAACTGTTGCGGTTGTGCAACGCCACATATACGATTGTTTTCAGTGCTGTATTGTTCGAGCCAATCTTCCGCGTAACCACTCTCTTCTCGGGTTTCATGTTCTTAAAAAATCCGAGCAAGCCTTCTAACTGCAGTTACTTTAGTGCTATGAATACAATTTACAGAAGAATTTTATTGCAAAATGATCTGTATGACTGCATCTTTTTAGCCACAAAAATTGAGTCTTTTTTGCTCTTCAGCAATGCTTTGAAACTGCAGCGCTAAACAAGGAGACTGTTGCTAATCAAACGTTTATCTTGTTTATAACCAAGAAGCAATGAAAAATTGTGCAAAAGGGGAAAAAAAGCCCAAAGGACCTTAAGTCTAGGGGTGAGACAAAGGACTGGCTGGACTATGGACTTCATTCAGCAAGTTGCACTCTGTGGCGGCTGGAATCCCGATCATGCAGGACAGGGCAGACACGGGGAAGCAGCACCACTAATTCCAGTTGACCCAAGTTTTCTCCCATCCTTTCCCCCCTTGCACCGGGCAGCGAGAAACACCGTGAGGTGCCAAAGCAATCGAGACGGAGCTTACCTGTGCACTTCCTTTTAAAGGTTTCATAGTCTACCCCTTGGTCTCCAGGGACGATTGTAGAGCCATTGTATTTAAAAGTCACCCTTTGGGAAGGGGAAAAGAGAAGGGGAATAATACATTTAGAAGTCAGCCTTTGGGAAGGGGAAAAGAGAAGGGAAATAATACATTCAACAGTCAGCCTTTGGGATGGGGAAGGGGAAGGCGAATAATACATTTAACAGTCAGCCTTTGGGAAAGGAAAAGAGATGGGGAAGACTATATTGTACAAAAACACCCTTTCGGAAGGGGGGCAGAGGAGAGGGGGAGTAAGGTCCGTAAAAGTCACCCTTTCGGGAGGGGGGAGAGGAGAAGGGGCATCACAGAACACCGGTGCCTGTCCGGGAGATGCCGGGGGCCACCTACCAGTTCACGTCGGTGGCATCGTCCCTGACGAGGTTGTACGCCTCCCTGCACGCCTCCTTGTCGATTTTGGTGGCCATGGGGGCGGCCGGGCGGGCGGCCGCGCCGGGGGAGGGGAG